GCCTGCCTGAACTAATGCTAAAGAAAAGAGGAGGAAAACAAAAACACCTTGATAAAGCAAAGGAAGGAACGTTTAGTAAATTAAGGGAGTGCGGTCATCAGTTCATGAAGCTCAGGCATGCTTGGGTTATGCAGCAGGACAATGATCTGAAACAAGTCCACCTCTGAATGGCTCAAGAAGCAACACAATGACTGTTTTGAGTGACTCAGTCAAACAGTGGACTCAAATCCTACTGAGATGCTTTGACCTGACCTTAAACAGGCCGTGATCGAACACACCAGTGTGGCTGAATTCAAACAATTCTCCAAAGAAGAGTGGGCCAAACACAATCACAGTCGCTTGATTGCAGTTCTTGCTTCCAATGGGGCAATAAAAAGCCCCATTATAGTTTACACAGGAATCTTTTTAATAGTTCAATTTGTGTTTATCATAACTGCACACTTTCCTTTATATTTATGTTCTAAAACATTCAAATTGAATTAATTATGGGTTTGAGTCACTTTTATAGAAAAATAAGTTAACCGAACTCATTGCCCCCAACTGTATCTGCCTTAAGGCCTCTGCTGCAGTAAATATTACTAGTCTAGGTCTGCTTGGTTCCCTGTAAAAATGTGAATGTGGGTGCCAGTGTTAAAGCACTCAGTAGAGGCACGAAAGCACAAATAAAAAGTAGTTTAAGTTTAAGCAGTGATTAGTGTGAAATTACAGTAAAATTAGATATAGTGCTTAGAGACAAATACCCACTCACCACACCCACTGCATGAGTTGATTCCTGGAAAAAGCTGGAGGAGAAGTGGCTAATTTCCAGTAGGAATGATTTTTACTGATAGAAATACAAGTATAAATCTAAATCTGGGGTCATGCTGACCCTACTCGGTCACTCGACGATTAAAGAGACGCCTGTTAAACCTCTCAGACTGACTGTTGTACATAATACCAGTAAAGACTTGTCCTCATACTCTGAAACAAGCTCTTCCAACAAAAGGCGAGACTGTTAATACATTTAAGCTTTTGGCACCTTAGGATACCAAAAAAAAAAAAAATCACACCCTGCAAGAATCTCCAAAACGTGAAGCAGCAAGCATACAAACCAAACCTGATGTTTACCCCGAGGGCGGCCTCTCATGCCAGACCAGATTTGATTTTCCAACCATTTATTACCAGCTGTCTCGTGCACAAAACGGCACGCATGTCTCCCTGCACATACACCTGATGTTTCCCGTTTCAGTGGAGGCAGTTTGTCTGCTTGGCGTCTCCATTTCACGCATCCACTTGGCCACGTGCCCAGAGGATAAGACGGCAATTATTTCCTCACAGAGATGATTCTGTTAGATTACATAAATCCATGTCTAATTCTCTCAATATGGCGTCAGGACACTAGAAAATACTGAGCGTGCTCCATGTCAGAGTCCTTAGAGACATGTCTGACAACAACTACAAAGATACTGCAGTCTGTGAGCTCGTTCTTTGGCCACTGGTGGCTAGACATTATCGCTATCACTTGAGGAGACTTTGGGTAATGAAAGAATAGCAGAGTCTTGATTAAGACAAACACATGGAGTGGCGTCCAAGGAGGAAAATTAAGAGGTTTAGAGGGAGAAATGCAGCTTTAACTCTGAGTGTGTAGCATGCGTGGACTTGAAGTCTTCATTTACCCTTCAGTGTTGGTGGCAGCAGATGGTTTCTGCAACTGCTCTCAGTCCCACCGCTAACACTTCTCCTCCTCAGCGCAGGGAATACTGGGATTGCTTAAAATGAACATGGCTGACCTTTTAATTAACTACGTGGACCATCATGCTCTGTTTTAATTAAAGGGAGAGTATTCTCTGTCCTCGGCTCTAGTTTAATAATTATACAGGAGCGTATACAGTAAAAGGGCTTATAAAAATACAACCTCAGATGATCAACACATGATTGCAGTATTTCAGTATTCATTTAACAAAAATTAAGCCAGAAGCACCGTGTGAAAATCTTCAGCTCCAATAGGAATTAATAGGGTAAGTAGCGGTCACCTGCTGCTACACATATGCACTCAGTTAACTGATCATTAGGAAATGTGAGCACCTCTATAGAAGAAGTAGTTTGTCTGGAGCACGGGGGTGTTGATAGGTCAGTGCCAACGAGGAAAGCATCAGTAATGGTCTCAGAGAAAAAAAGTATGGCTGCCCTTCAATCTGGGATGGGTTATAAGGTCATTTCCAAACAATCTAGAGTCCATCAGTTTACAATGATGAAGATTATTCAGAAGACGATGCCAATACAACTGCTGATTTTCTCGGGAGTGGACGTCCCAGCAAATTCACCCCAAAGTCAGACAGGACAAAGCTCAGAGAAACTGCAAAAAACCCAAGAACGGCGTCTCACACTCCACAGACATCAGTTAGCATGTTAGATGTAAAAGTTCATGACGGCACGATTAAAAAAGCCTGAACATGTTTGGCTTTTTTTAGAAGGGTTTCCAGGGGAAAACGTCTTCTGTCCAAAAAGCACATTGCAGCACGACTTAAGTTTGCAAGGTACATCTGAACAAGCCACAAGACTTGGTGGTGGTGGAACGGGGATGATTTGGGCTAATTTTGGAGCCACAGGACATGGGTACCTTGTAGTCACTGAGTCAATGCCTAATTATTCTAGAGCAAACTGTCCAACAGCTAAAGCATGCAGCAGGACAAAGATCCCAAACACAGCAGCAAATCTACAAGAGAATGTGCAATGAAACCTCAATCCACTGAAGGAATGTTGTAAAGAAACATCTTCTACAATGATACAAGGGGCTAAAAGTTGCACAAAAGACAAAAGAAAAGGTGATTCTACAAGCTACTGAATCAAGGTGTGGACTTAGTTTTTCACATGCTGCTTCTGCAGTTTTGCACTATTATTGTTAAATAAATACTGACACAGTGCTACTTGTTATGTATTGTTGTTCATCTCAGGTTGTATTTGCCTAATTTTAAGAGCTTCTGAGGACCAGATTTTTTAAATATATATACGTTTATATCCTGATATGTAAAAACTCTGAATGAACAGAGGCTGAGATGAGTTTTTAAAAGAACGGTTAAGAGACCAAACTGCAAAATTTGAAAGATAGCATCACGGTCAGTGAGACTGATGCTTAAACATTTGTATCTTTTCATTTAAGCACTATATATTCAGATCTTCTACCTCTGTGTCGCTACTGTTTTGAATGGATATAATTAAGTAATTTCACCATCAATCTATCCTCAGTATCTCATAATGATAAATTATTGTCTTAAAAAAAATGATAATCTTTCATTTACGAGACTATTCAGACTCTGCTGTGGTACTTCAGACTGCACCCTGTTTTCTTTAATTAAGATGTGGTCGAAACTCTGAGCCACCTGAGGCAAATTTTATTGGACATAGTTTAGAAAGCCACACTGTGTACATAAAGATCCCACGTTCCTGAAGGCACCGCCGGCACAAAAACTAAATCACGAAGTCTAAGAAATTCACTTATGGTGAGGCATCAATCAGGTCAGGGGCAAAAAAAAGGTACTTCTAAAAGCATTCAGTGTCCTCAAGGGCACCGTGGCCTCGATAACTGAGATGGAGGAAGTTTTGAAGCACCTGGACCCTACAGAGAGAAGGCTTCAATCAGAGGAGGTGACCAAGAAAGCCCTTCTAACAGAGTTTGAGAAGTCTGCTGCACAGAGGAAAGTACCTGCTGGACAAAGACTCCATCGTCTCCATCAACTTTTATGGTGGAGAAGATCAGAATCAGAATCAGAATCAGAATACTTTATTGATCCCTGGGGGAAATTATTTTTTGTTACAGTGCTCCATTTTAAACCAACATTAAGACAAGACAGACAATACGCTAACTAAGAATAGTACAATATATACATATATATACATACATACATACATAAGTCACTTATAAATAAATATTTGGAAAAGAAACATGTGTAGTTGTAGCAGCAAACAGTGTGTTAAGTGGATGCGTTGTACAGGGAGATGGCCACAGGCAGGAATGATTTCCTGTGTCGTTCAGTGGTGCTTTTCGGTAATCTCAGTCTCTCACTGAACGAGCTCCTGTGACTGGCCAGCATGTCATGGAGTGGGTGGGAGGTGTTATCCAACATTGTCTTTATCTTGGACAGCATCCGCCTCTCCGACACCACCTTGAGGGAGTCCAGCTCCATCCCCACAACATTGCTGGCCTTACGGATCAGTTTATTAAGTCTGTTGGCATCTGCGACCCTCAGCCTGCTCCCCCAGCATGCAACAGCATAGAGGATCGCACTGGCCACCACAGACTCATAGAAAATCCTCAGCATTTTCTTGCAGATGTTGAAGGACCTCAGTCGCCTCAAAAAATAGAGACGACTCTGGCCCTTCCTGTAAAGTGCTGTGGTGTTTTTAGCCCAGTCCAGTTTATTGTCAATGTG